CTAAACCTTAAACCCTAAACCCTAGACCCCTAAACCCTAAACCCTAAACCCCTAAACCCTAAACCCTAAGCGATCTAGCTTCGTCATCTTCAGCAGCAGGTCGGCCGCGATGGTGTGCATTGGAAACAGCATCGGCACAACCTAATGCCCATCGCAAATCAGGACCCATCGGAAAATTGGATGCTTCAATCCACTTCAGTTTGTTGGCAACTTGCAGGGTCGGGGACTTACGGTGGGAAGTAGGTGCGGCGGATTAAATCTGTACGTACGGTAAACCCTACCAGTAGTTGGAGTTATCCAAGCAGTAACCAATAAATGGAGACATGCCCTGGACTCCAAAACCCCTGTCCCACGGCCGATTGGCATCGGCATCATGGGGGAGCGACTTCGCGTAGAGCTCCAGCGGTGTCGAAGACTTCTCAGCGAGGCAGCAGGACATGGGCATAATTCTTAACTCTTGACTCTTCAACTCAACTGTGCTTTATGATCGAGTGCTCAATGGCCCAAGGTTTGGGGCATGTAGGGTTTCCAGGGGGTGGGGCTGATGTTATGCCAATTTTGGATGGTAGTAGTGTGCTTTCGATACCCCTGGCTACTACCTGCTTGCTTTTTACGGTTTTGGATCTCTCCAAGAATCTCCTGTTGTCGTCCCGCCATTATTCCCGTCCCACCGCTCTGACAGCAAGACTACAGATGCCAGCGTCAAACTTTACATCCTCAACACCAAACAACTAAACCTGGACCCCCCTAACCGAATATTTCAGCTGGAAAACCAAGCCAGGGTCTCCGGCTTTTTGAACCAGAACGGCCCAAGTTCTAGCCTACCGGGGATTGGAAATAAAGTATGAGAGCTTTCGCAGAATATACAAGGATCAAGCAGTCTAATCTAGCGGCTGAACCCCCGTTCATTGTTAAACACGAGTGACCAAACCCAGAGCGCTCAACCAGGCTTATAGGGTTTCGGCATACTTTCTCCACAAACGAACCTCCATATCTGGTATTCAGGGTGGGGACGTTCATTCTTGGGTTGCGGGGGCGTTGCATCAGCTGTTCGTTTAGATGTTCGCATTTGGACATAGTGCAGAAGCTGCATACTCCCTTGCTGAAGACGTTCTTTGCGTTCCAGTTTTCGTCCCCACATAATCTCGCAAGTACCTGGAGATTGAAATTAGTCTTTAATGTACGCTTGTAGAAAACCTGCACAATCCCTTCCGTCTCAAACTGAATTCGAACCCCCGGCGTCGCAAAAACAACACATGCCTTACGCTAAGTCTTTTCGGTGGGCAGTGGGGTATGGAATACTATACCCAGGCACAAACAAACAAGCCAACTTGCCCTCCAAAAAAGCATCTCGGAAGGACGATACTGTAGAAGCGCCCTCTTCATGTTCTTATCATGTCGGGAGAGAGCAATGCAGAAACATGAACAGCTCTATATGTTTCCTGGAAAATCTATGGCCAATTTTAAATTCCTACGAGCGTAAGAGATTCAGAGTTTCAGCGTACCACATCATTGGTTACGTGTGAGAAGGTATATCGATGGTGTGTCAAATTAAGGTTTGTCAGTTCTAGGGTGTATGCTGGCGTTAGGTTTGCGAGGCTTGTGGGAATGGTTTTAACGGATTTCTAGTCAGTAGCTCATGCTAGAGCACCTGTTGCAACCATTGGAAGCGTAGTAGCATCGGTACAAGGATCTTCTGAGATGTGGATGGTGCTATGCAACGTGTAAGTTTGATAAACCCCCAGATGCTTACCACACTTTGCCATGAACCCTTGGCTGAGTTGAGATCCTAGCCAACCTAATGAACCAACGTTTTCGCTCTATTCCAGTTCTCCCTAACCTTAACCCAGCGATGCAGACACTGTCCCACCGAGCAGCCCGGCAGCATGTTTGCACAAATGCTGGCTAAGTCGTGCATGCATTGAAGCAGCAAGAGTCTGAAACAATACTGCGTTAGACTGATTCAGAATGATGTTTTTGGAAGACACTACGTTGAACTATTGTACATAAAGACAAACATTATCACGCTGGCTGCACATTGCCAAGTTTGAGATGTGGCGTGCTGCTCAAGGCAACCTCCGTTGCAAGCCGCGCTGACAGGTCTCCTCGATCGGCGTAGGTCGGTCACACAGTGAAGGCTGAAGGTTCGTGGGTTTAAGATTGGGCTTAGTCGGGATCGCGGAGGCTGTAGTTTCGGACAAATGAAGAGATTGAGGGTTTGGCTTTGGGGTTTACATGCGAGAAGTCGAGAGGGCGGAGGGATCAAAGCGGCTTTCCCAAACATATCTCATCTTGGAAGACAGTGTTCGAGGTTTTAGTCCCGGAGTCCCGTGTAAAGGGACCATGTCATTCTGCCCGTGCTCTTGATACAAGTATGGATGTAACAATCTCGATTGGGGCTGGACAAGAAGATATCTTCGCCTGAAAGACTCTCGCTTGGGAGAATGCATTTCCCCAGATTGTGCAAGCAAGCAAACTCGCGTCGACTGTTCCACTCCCCTTCAATCGATTTAAAGCCCGCCACCAATCGAATCCGCTTGTTCGTTGCTTGTGTGAACCGGAGCTTGGGGCGTACGGGCGACACTGTGTGGTACCTAAGCCACTACAGGCAGGTAGCAGATGAAAGGGATTGAAAGGGTTCCAAGCAAAAGCAACCATAACTTCCGAAACCCAAATCCTTCTGCTTGGGGGTTCACGGGGGACTACGTGCGTCTACTTGCAACCGTGTATAACCCCTTTGCTTAGGTCGGACTCTAGTCGCTTTCTTCGCCACTATTTGCTTGGACTAGCTACTGCACACCGCCAAAGCACAGGCCCTGCCTGCTGCATCCGCAGCCCGAAAGCCTTTGAGAGGGTAGAGGGGTAATTTCGGTTAATGTTGTCAGGTTTGGACATGCTGAGGCCTACTCTGGTGTAGGGTGTAAGTCATGGAACCCAAGATGCTCGTTTCGAAAAGGAACCAAGCGACTTGCCCCTCCAGCACTTGAGAAAGAGGCTTAAATCCTGTTCATGCACAGCAGCGGGCCGTTCTTGAGCCGGAAAGACTCGAAACCGACAACATTAATGTGATTTGTCGGCCCTCGGCTATCTGCAATCTGCAATTCTCGGTGCCAGCTCCTGCATGCGTGCATGCACTGCTTGGGCTCTTGCGATGCCCTGAGGCAACTGCGCTTCACCAGTTGTTTTGTCTCCGATCACACACGCGGCTGAAAATCGCGGACATAGTGAAACGATGCTTGCCGGTGTACACGACTGCAAGGCTAGTACAAGCGTATGCCCATGCCTAACCAAGCACATAGACCCCTGTCGCACCCATATTTTACCATACTAAGGTTTCGAGCTGTGAGACGATGGGAAAGCCGATCCTGTTCATTCATGACGCAGGAAATCCACTTCGGCCATTCCCTTCTACACACTCCACCGGCTCGTATCACGGAAGCAAAATCACCAAGGTGCCGGACTGTCTGTTGTTCTCGGTGGACCCAACCTCTGCCTCCACAAGTCTAGTCGAGAAAGCCTCAGCACTCGAGGCTGTGCAAGCGAAAACAAGCCGCTTTTGACAATCCGTCTGAATCGAGCTCGGCTGCAACCAGCTCATAACTTATGAATTATAACTGTGGCAAACCTTCATGCCAACAAGATGCTTCTGATAAGGTCCAGCACCTTGGTACACCCACGGCAGGTAAGAGCAGACGAGGCGACCGAAGTTTCAGACTTTGCTCGGTGCTTACTTACACATTCGCGCCCATCAGTTTCACCTGATTCGAAGCATTCGTGTTCAAAGCTGCTCACACTGCCGCTGGCCTCATGAGCACATCTAAGATATCTAAGGGATGGGCGTGGCCCGCTCTTCACTTACCTTCAGCGATGGGCGCTTTTGGCCGAGCTGCATCCTCTCCCTGCATGACGTCAGTGAGCTCTCCTTTGGTGTCCAAATCTTTGACCCTTGGCGAGGGCGATCGATACGATGACTAAACCTTATGACAACATACTTCAACTACTAGTATGTTGGCCAGCCATGCCAGCCCTGCATTGCCAACAACGTGCTGAACAAACGCTTGAACACCTTTACCGGTGCTTGCAAGTGAAACAAACGGACTTACTCGTCATGCGAGAGCATGCGGGCACTACATCCAGTCTCGCAGCCGTACAGCAAAATCAGCAAGTCATGCAAAGGGGCCGTGCAGGTTAGCCATCTGCAAACACCGTTCGAAACAACTAAGAGACAGAAGCCGTTGGCATTGGAACCTGTGCATGATTGTGTACATGACATGCGTGTGTACAGCTGGGGATTCTGGTCAACATGCTTGTTGTACTCTGGGGGCACAGGGCGACTGTCGGTGTCGAATGAAAAGCACGGCAGATCACCGGATATTGGGACCCTCACAAAATCTCCTGGTACAGAAACCACGAGGCTAGGTTGCAGCAAACTCGCATTTCAGGGACCCCGGCCTATGAGCAAAGTGCGACTCAACAGTAACGTCTTTCAACCTCGTGCTGTTGTAATTGCACAGCGGCGACAAGGGGATTCACAATGGAGGGCTGACTTGGCTTCAGCCCGGGATATCGCGGATATCTGCAAGCGCCGCAGACTTTCTCCGCGTCAGCTTCTCACTTGTTGGCTGCCATTGGTTTTGCTTCCTTTGCCTCTCGCTTCCATCGTCGGACTTTCAGCGGTCAAACAGGCCTGTCTCTTTAGCTCTTTTCTCCTCGCTCTCTCTCTCTCTCTCTGTCTCGCGCCCGCCGAAAGTTCAGAAACAAACGGTAGAGTCCACATAGAGAACACTGATGTGTCGTCGTTGGAAGTGCCGCTTTGTCCTCTCGAAGATGGCTTCCCTGCTGAGAAAAACAACCCCGATTGATACTGTATGATTGATCGGTTGAGCTATATACGTCCAGTCACCAACCAGAATCGATGCAGCAAAAATGAGTGAGGCGGGACGGCTTTGCTCGAGAACACATGTATTTAACATCCGCTTCTTTCTGCATCACCAAGTGGCCAAAGCATAAACTTTTGAGAATAACGCGCGACGATTGCAGCGACTGGCCTGCAACATGCAGCACGAATCCTCCGCTCACTCCCTTACTTTGTGCGCCCTGCCCCATTCAATATCGGAACCCGTTGCACTTCGATCCTTGAACGCTTCTCGCAAGTCTCTTAAGCTGTACCCGCCGACTGCAAGAAAGCGCCATCATCAAAATCAAAACATTATTTCCAATCTACCCCCCCTCCCCATGCCTTACGAGCGCCACGATATCGCCAAAGGCTTTAGGAGCCACAGCGCAGAGATCGCACTCTGAGACAGCAGTCAGTTGGCCCACCTCGGAACATGGGCAACCACATCAGTCGACCCCGCCATGCCAATGCATGCCAAATTAGGGCATGTCGGTGCACCCAGAGGAGGAAATCACGCACTCGCCACTTGGACCAGTGGAAAATCTCTAATCGGCTCAGGGAAGCAAGCAGAGTCACGCATCAGCACTGTCACGAGACTCTTGGCAACGACTGGCTAGCGCAAGTTCCTTACACTGTGCACCGTGCACCTACATCAATATGTCAATATGGCTCATGGTGGCTCTCTGGAAAGGATTCGCAGCGGTTTCGAGATGAGATGCATGGATCCAGAATGGAGTCCAAATAACCGGCTCGCCAATCCAGTCCTGTGTGCCAGCATGTTCGGGTGCTTGGCATCATCCAATAACCAGCATTGCGCAGTCGGCACACTGTAGAAATTGAATGTTGAGTCGCAGCAGCCCCCCGGTCCTCTCCCTTGTCCACAACTTCCACGCGCTCGTTTGGGGTGTCAGCATCCCTGGACATCAGTCAGGATTGCTCAACACGCCAAATTCTGCTGCATCATGACACAAACCTTTCCACGATGGATATGCCTGCACACCGGGGATTGCAGGGAACAACAGCAACCGACTGGTAGCATGATCTGCATGATCTGCCCCGGAGACAGCATTCTCGCAGAAAGCTGTTGCCGAATGACACGGATGCCTCACGTATTGCATCCTGCCGGAAGCGATGAAGTAAAGGTAGCTGCCTTCCTGGTTCGGAAGAAACTGCCTCATGTGCATTCGTCAAGAGCATTTGCAGCTGAGCTCGAACATTGAAATCAGAGTGTTCGAACAAGATACGTGTCCCCTCGCGCGAGCTGGAAGCGTTGTACAGCCTCTTTGGCCAATCGCTGCACTGTTATGACCTAGGTCTCTGACATCAGCCGGAACCACACAACCGTAAATAGAAGCGACATCAGGGCAAGATTTTGAAGGCGGGGCAGAGAAGTTGTTCAAGAAGGCGAACAAGGGGTGGAGCATCATGTGCGGCATGTTCATGGCCTCGGCAACTGGCTTCCTGTGCAATCAGTTCTCTCTGTTTGGCTCCAAACGCTTAGGCTGCTGCGCACTGCAACTCCTCCATCAGACCTCCTGACAACAGTGACAGTACCTCAGAGCAGCGGTAAAAAAACATAGTGATTGGATGCGCAGCTTCTCCCGGATGCTAGCCGCAAGCCAGCCTGGTAGCCAGTAGCGAATCGTGCAAGGCCAGGACTTGTCGAGGAAGTCTCTTGGGTGTAAGCCCAGGCTGTTCAAAGTTGATTACATATCTTGTATTACGGCCTTATGACGTTACAGGGCTATGCTTTAACTGGCAAGCTATGCAACAGGGAAGGTGCAACCGACCGAACACACCGCCACCAAAACAACGAAACCAACCCTGGCACGACTCGTCCCAAACCGTCTGGCAAACAGAAACAGGAAATACTCCTTTGCGATACCAAGGTACCTTCACTTCCTTAGCAATGCACAGCAGCTCTCGAAGTAATTTTCCATCAGAGGCGTGTTAATTACTCTGAACCGCACAAGTCTGTCAAGGTGTCTCGTCTGCTGACCCCGCCTGGATTGACATCTTCTTCTGCTGCTGGGAGTGCGCATGCTCCACGAAGCGCTGGATTCGTGATGCAAGCTCCATGGGGACCTGGTTCCTTCCATCGAATGGACGACTCGTAGTTGTGCATAGCAGCGCATCAAAAGGGCACGGACAAGGCCTCCGAAGAAATCGCCGCATCATCCAGAAGTCCTGAATGCGGGTGCTCATCGATCTTGTCGCCTCTACAAATTCTACATCGCCATCGCGGCGAAGCAAGGTACATACCCTTTCACAAAGAAGGCAATCAGATCTTTGGACTGGTTTTGGCGGATCATCCTTGGCTGACTGCTCCGTCATGCTCCGCAGCTGTGCCAGCGACCCTGACAAACGATTCACCCGTCTCTCTCTGTCTGTCCGTCTTGCGCCAGGCTTCACGGAAACAAGCTCTGTCTCATTCGCTCCTTTTATGGGGTGCGGCTGTCTTAAGTCAACAAATGTGTTATTGTCCGCGGATCTGTCTTTGTCCGTCAGATTCCTTCAGGACGACACGACAAACTTGCAAACACACATCTCTCTCTTTTGTCTTTTTCCAAGCATGACGGAGAATTTGTTCCGTCCCTCGCACGCGATCGAGCACTTGCTTTTCATTGCAGGCTTTGTTCCACCGGCGGTCATACCTCGGGCGGCTCGGGTGTGCTCGCCTGCCAAAAGCACCGCATCCCCCGGTAAACGAGTTAAGCATTACATGAACATGTCAGCCACACTGTCCAATCAGCATGACAGGCGCAACGGATTGCGAGGGGGAGGAAGAAACCGCGTTCATTGGTAGCACATTGACCGGGAGTTTGGTCGGATACTTCCATGGTCGGAATGAGTGAACAAAAAACTGTCCCGAATTCGGAACATCAGGTGGCCCCCGAAAGTCTGAGGGGTTGAGCAAATCAACATGAGACTGAAGAGACCGTAACATCGTCCCACCAGATTGGACGGTGATGGAGATTCTCACCGATGCGGGCTACGGTGCCCTTGCAAAAACCAGAAACGACAGCAGTGACAAATGATATGTCTCGGCACACCTCACTATAACACTTTTTACACGCTTCCTCAGTGTTCCTGCGTGCAGTTTGATTCGCGGTTGGAGGTCAATCCGGACTCCCCCGACCCTCGTCGCATTTCGGCTTCAAGTCGTCAGTTCCTTGTTTTTTCGCGCCATCATGTGCCCGATGATGTCCTCCCGTATGTTCACGGTGTCCTTGCGGGCTGCTCAGTCTTTTCGGGCCTTCACAGAGCTCGATAGCACGGCCCGAGGCTCACGGACCGTGGAACCTCTTCTACAGGCAACATGGAGACATCTCCGGAGTTCTCGTGGGCTGGGAACATCCAGAACCCAGCCACACGCGCCCACAGGTTCTCTACGGATGGCTCTACGCTGCTCTGGCTCAACGCTTCTCAGTGCTTCTTTTTGTGCTTCCCGGGCCTCGGCTTCATGTGCATCAGATATATCTCGTGCACTGGGTTGCCAGTGTCTGTTGGGACTCCCCACAGTGAGGCTCTCCGGTAGCAAAGGCTACCTTGGAGAAAACAAGACTTTTAAGCTTCGCGTGCAGGTGGACGTAGATCTCATGAAGGCTTCGTACCGGGGATGAGAAACGGATACGCCATTGTCCGAGAGCCGGCGAAGGACCTGATACCAGCCACCCGAGTGAGAAAACCCAATGTCACCATGGCGACCCCAAAAACGGGACTCCCTCAAAGCTGTGGATGACCATGGATGACCATATCGCCCGCAGGAAAAGGGCTCAACTCACAGCAAAGGTAAAGAGAGTCCTGCTCGAATGCGGCGGCAGCCATGATCAACTTGAAGCGTCCCAACCATAGCAGTCGGCCGACTCGCAACAATGGAAGGCACGGCTGGCCAAGGGACAGCAACTGAACTGTGTCATGTGTCGGGCAGCCAATCTTGGTCCGGATGCCATCCGCCGACTATGAGCGCTGGGTGGCGACCTCTGTTCTCGGCGTCCCCGCCGGCGACTGTTGAGATGACTTTCCCTTCCAGGGCAGCGGGCAGCCATCTTCAAGCGCAATCACGGCCTTTCTGATCTCCTCCCGAATCTCCTTAGTGAGCTGGCTGCTTTGGTGCGCGAAGCCGGCCTGCAGCTCCCCACGAAGTGCCATTGCAATCCCCTCGATGGTGATGGGTTGGGAGGACTCCATGGAGATCATGGAGTTGGTCCCATGATGTCCCATGTCCCGCTTGTGTGGCGTAGTCCCGTCTGCATCCACATGCGCGCGACGTGCTGTCGGGAAATGTGAAGCATCTTGGAGTTCTTGGCTGGTTATCACCGTAGTTGGCGAGGGCAGGCTATGCTCCCAAAGCAAGGAGGAAAGAGAGAAGGCCCCGCCCGAGAGCGCCCCGAGGTCCTTGAACCGCTGAACTTGAGAAAAAATAGCTACGGACGCGCTCGCTCGCTCGCTCGCTCTCTGTCTCTCTCCCTCTCTCTCTGAACTTCTGTGCAGGCACATGCAAGTAAGACTATGCGGATGTAACATCATGGCAATGCATGTTTCTGCGTAGTGTTAACAGACAGATATGCACAGCAACACTATTGTGTGTCTTGGCATCTGCACACCTAACGGGAGTACGTGTGAAGATGTGGCTTGTACACAGGGGTGTGATAAATTCTTGAGCATCATGAGACTCGTCGCTGTCGTCAGCAAGAAGCTTAAGCCTTAAGCTTCGGAACATGGGGGCAGTCGAATCTATCGAAGGTTGTCTCCCTGTAGTATCAATTATCAATACCGCCACACACACACAGTACACATCTTCTGCGGTCGAAGAGGCGCAGCCTCTTTCGAGATTCGCGGTCGTTTGCTTTCGCGACATAAATACAAACTGCCGCTTGCAGGTGCAGGACTCAACCTTCGAGATGATAAACGAAGCTCATGCTTGCTAGTAATCCTGTTTGTGAAGAGCATCCCACCATTGCAGTCAGACTATGCCGTCGCAAACTCTTCTAGAGTCTAGAGTTGCTGCGCGGGACCATGCTGTGTACATGCGCAATGTAAAACCCATCTGGCCATGTGCTTAAGACAGTACAACAACTGAGCTACATTCGCGGCACTGTAAGCACGTAGAAATTTTCAGCCATCTGCAGGGAATGCGTTCCCGAAGGGCTTACCAACCAATGAACGACAAGTAGCAATGCCTTCTACCACATGTCTGGGATTCTGCCTAAGATGCTTCCGACGACATAGGAGAAGCCGACGAGAGCGAAGACCTTGGTCAGTTTCGCTTCACTAGTGGCAAATGGTGCCAAACGGGTCCATTCGTGACATTTCACGGAACTACACAGAGCTTTGTGCCGACATGCTTTCGCGTGAATGGAGCACTTGTCTTCGGTGCATGCTGCATGCTACAAGAACATGTCATCACAAGCCCGCCAACACATAGCAGCTTCGGGCAAGGGGCCACCACAAAGATAGCAAATGTCTGTTCGACCTTAATCATGCTAAGCAACAACACAATGTACATGATGCAAGAATGTCTGTTTGCCACGGCCCTGTCCCGTACTTACAGGGCAGAAAAAGTCGGTGTTTCGCCAAGGAGCAATGTTTGCAGGATGGATCTGAGGCTTTGAGGCCGGCGTAAATTGCCTTGGGAACACTGTTGTGCACGAATGTGATTTGACGCGAAGCCACAAACGGACCTGTTCCACCCAGCTTGATTCAGGCATGAAAAGGGCAGAAGACTCAAAAGGACCTAGTCCGAGGCGGCCCCTCTCACTGCCATGAAGAGACATGCGAGCACCGGGATAATACTTGTATGTGCTCTCCTGTTCATTCTATTAGATGCTGCGGCAGGGCGTGATGGACCAATGGAAGCTGGTCACATAGCGGATGTCCTGGGAGGAAGCGGCGAGGTATGGTCTTCAACAGACTCCCTCGAGGTGCATCGAAGTTCCATGCCAAGACTCCCATGGTTCAGTCAACATTCCGCTGTCCTCAATGCAGGCAGAACAATGGTGAGTCAACACGGTCATGCAGAAGAAATCTTCTTGCGAGCCGTCGAGACCAATATTGAGGGATCAACGGTATTTGCCGGCTTGCTAACAAATGTGGAAGTTTTTGGACTGTGCACCTGGAAGCCCATACAGAATGGATCAACGTGTGCCGTGGGTGTGCTAGTTGGCACCTGTTGAAAGGTTGGCAGCCCACACAGAATGGATCCGTGTGTGCCGTGGGTGGTGCTAGTCTGCTAATTGGCACCTGTTGAAAGGTTTCACCCAAGTCTCGACCCAAGCAGGGACACCGGCATCATGGAAAGCGATGGAAAGGGCGTACCATACACCTTGGTTCCAAAACTGTTCGTTAATCTACGGACGAGTCGGAAAACAAAACGTCTTCTCTTTGAATGCCCAGCCGTCAGTCCTGCTCATGGCTTCATCAACTAGCAAGCGAAGCGATACTTCTACGCCTACGCTTCAAGGGGAAAAGCGGGAGCTTGAAGACAAAATTACCAAGTTGTAGCCTCGGCACAAGCAATCAAATGATTCAGCGCCAGCCTCACAGTTCGCATGACCATAGCTTACAACTTCTGAGATTCAGAGCAGGCTGCCCCTCCTGGAAACACGGCGCATCCTGAAACAGTGAAGTCCTAATCCAGACACGGAAAACTTTCCTAGGGAAGAAATCGCACTGCTACACCGATCACATGCCTCTCGCACAGTGGAAACAGCCAAGCTTATGCTGCAACCAGGGGGCAACAGAAGAATCATCTTTGCCTTATAAGTCATACGTGCAGCGGACGCTGGGGTCTGCCCCCTCGCTGACCATGGAGACATGATCGGCTCCATTGCATGGGCAAGTGGCGATGTTGGCCATTATACTGGCAACCTCTGAGTCCAGATAGTCGCTGATTTTCTCCATCACCTCGCACACGCCATCTCTATAACGAGCTACACCAGGTATTCCTCGAAAAACGGCTGCCGCGACACGATGCTACTATGTTCTACTGGACAGGTGTGCAACAATCCCTTCTAAGCCTGTGTGCACCGGCCTTCTGCAGCTTCAGCAGCCGCAAAAGCCGCGCGGTTCGGGCCAAACGAAGGATTCGCAGAAGGCGGACCCCTTCCTCCTTAGTGTCAGTCTAGTGAGCTATGTGAGGCAATGTCGAAAACGGTGGGTCCAAGATGTTCCAAGCCACTCCAAGGCCACCGCTGCTCGCATCTGTCAGAGGCACGAGCAAGGGCCACAAAAGCCAACAGGACCCAAACTATGCCCAAGCCGCCAAGCCCAAAACACACCACAATATGCCGCAATACATGCGATACGGAGTACCCCGAAAGACCACGAGGCCTCTGTTTCTTAAGCCGTGCCTTCCAAATTGGGTGTGGCTATCCGCACCAGCGTGAATGCCCAGTCTGGGACCAGCGTGATGACGTCGACTATACACCACGTTCTCAAGTAATTCTTGAACTTGGCTGAGAACAGCTGGCGCATGTAACTCTGCTCTCCTCCTCCTTTTTTTCGGGCTGGTCAGAGCACCAGGCAGTTCTGGGAGTACGACCCCATGGGAACAAGTCACCCACGGATTGAACAGGATGTGACGCGTTTCAGCGGGCTGCAAGAACAACCTGTAAGCTGCACATCGAAATCTATTCAACCCATTCTGAAACAGGCACTGATTGATTGTCAGACCTTTCGAATCCTTTCGGCGACCCCGCAGGCTAGGCTCTCACAAGTTTCGAAGTGGCCACAACGCATTAGGGCACTCATTTGGATCTCACTGGTATCTTACCGATGGCACAACCACGAGTGGCCATGCAAACCACGAGCATAATTCGGCAATGTCACAATTTCGCGCCTTGGTTCGTCCCGCAGTCAACATGAATCAGGCAGACCCCAGTGTACGAAGGCGCGGCAACGTGTCCAGGATGTCCGTGCAGCCAAGGTGCGGTGCCATCACCGTTTCTCCGCGTCGAGTAAAGCCCACAGTGAGGGTCGCCGCGACGTTGAGGGTCCAAAAGAGAAGCGTCATCCAATCCTGCGCCAGAAATGGTCGGTGAATTTGTCAAGGGCCGAGGATGGGCAAGGGCCAACTCGACTTTCACAAAGTGCGGCTTCTGTCCATAGCATCTGTGAAAAGCGTATCCGGATACTCGAAGACCTGAGCTGAGATGAATCTGTTGAAGTGCCGCGGCAGAGTCCACGTGATCCTGGACTAGGACAACATGGGACAGCGCATGGGAGCACAGTGGGCTGGAAATCAGCATCCAAGGACGGGGTGAGTCAACCCAGCGGCTCACGGCAAGACATCCAAGACCACGCAAAAGAGTCGTGATACGACTTGACGCAGCATCTAGCAGCACTTTAAGCAAAAGACCCATGACCCGAGCGGGTCCACTGACCCGGAAACCCGGAGCACGATACTCACCCTGATAGCATTGTGAAAAAGAATGCTTGTGCAAATCTCTTCCCACTGCGGCCTCCAATGCCAAGGTGCAGCGTACACAAGCACTGAGAATGCCCATGCGTGGCTTACACGGGCCACTCTCCCTCTTGCGTCGACATCCGAAAAAGCTGAGGCGGAAACCTTCAAAGGAATCCTCAAGAATGCAGGCGCTGCAGCCTACTGCCCTTCCCGGATCCTCCCGGCTTTCTACTTTGCAAACGCTCTTCCAAGACCTTCCATGTGCAGGGTGCGCTGGGCAGCGACGAAGGTTAGCAATGTTAGCCAAGAGGCATGAAGAGGTCATACAAAATGAGCAGGCCGCCAAAGAGATCCCAAGCAACACGGTGCTTGCTGGCCTGCAGAGCTTGTGGGGCTGAGATGGGCTGAGCATAGAAACAGGCGGTGCTTGACTTGGTGCTTCAAAGCAGCTGGGTAGGCGATCAGGCCCTTGGAGTTTTTAGCCTGGTATGCGGCAAGATAATTTGGAGATCCGATCACGAAACAACATACAGCTCGGCAGTCAAACACCAACTTGGACACTGCAGGGCCACAGTGCACTCCGGCACACTCCAACAATGGATCCTCAAGCAGCGGGTTGCCGTCATGTCTCCATGAGCCCTTTCTCGCCTTGTTCACATTTTCCATCGATGGCGACAATGCTAATTTGATGGTATGAGAACCTTAGAGATGCTGCACGCCTTCTCGGGTGCATGCAAGAGCTTGTCTCGGTGTTGCTCGAAACCACCTCTCCACAATGCACAGACTGCTTAATTGGATGTCAGTGGCCCATTGTCTCGGAGGTCTGTCCCGAGAAAGGAACCTGATCGAGGTAGACGATGTGACATTTTAAAACATCAACCAAGTGGCAGTCTCGCAGATTGCCAATGACATCAGCTCAGTTACACGTAAATGGTCAGCAGCTTGCTGTCGATTGAAATTCCACCACAACAAAAAACATTGAGACAGTCAATGGGAGCTTGCAGCCGGCCATCAGCATCTTAGAGGCCGACAGTGCAGACCTATGTGTCAGCGGCTCACATGATTTCCTTCACTTGGCGATACGACAGGAAGCTTCACGGTGCATTGCATCGCTTGCTTGCCCATACAGTGACATGCCGGCGAGATCTCTCCGGTGCTGTTGTTGTTGTTGTTGTTGTGTCTTTGTTGAAGCGCTACCAGCTTAAGCGGCCGCCAATTGTAGCCGTCGAATCACCACAAGACAGCCTGTGGAGGGCCCAACCGGCCCAACCTTTGAGATTCGAACAGTTCCCGAGCTCTTCAACCACGCATTTTCTGTAGTTAGTTTGCGCATGGTATCGTCTCTGCTCCTGTGAGGAGCCTCTGGTTGAGCTTAAACTCAGTGTGGTGACACAGGCAAGCCTTGCTAGGCTAAAACCTGGAGCTGGCCCGGTCCCAAATCCGGGGGGAGCACAACCTTGCCGAGCAATCTGTCCTTGCTCCTAAGCGCGAGGGTTCCCGTCTTTCCGCGCGGCGGGTGATCTGCTTGCATTTCGGGCGTAAGGTGCCCAGTCCACAGCAGCCACACCGGCCGCCAAGCCATTCACAGCCTTCGGGCAAGCCCCAGAAGCGGGGCAAGGCACAAGGTGCAGCCACACTTTACCACAGCCGCTTCCGCTGAGTCTACACTTACGGTCGGGCAATGCGTCGGGCAATTGGCCGAAGTGAGATACCAGGGGCCAGTGGCCACAGATCAGCCGATTGGCTATGCAGCTGGTCCGTCCTTGCAGGACCAGGAAACTTCTCTCCCCAAAGGGGAGCGTGCGGTTGAGGCTTGTCAATCAAACCAGCTTTACGAGTGGGTGCATGCATTGGCCACCATCGTGATTATCAAGGAGAAGGTCATAACTGGAGGCTTCGGCCTCGAAGCAGGTTCGCGTGTGGCAACAGCGAATTGGCGTCCTCCAGCAAGTGCCCTGGATTTTCTCGCCGCTATACCTTACTGCGACTGAATCGGGCATCACATGGAAGGACGCGATGACGGCCAAACTGGTCGCAGGCAGGGATGGCCACCTCACTATCTCTGTTGGAGTCGGGAATGACTACAATGACCTGAGTCACGTGACGCTGCACTTTGGCCTGTTCAGTGCCTTTTCAAAAGGATGTGGGACCGAGTGGAGATCCATGCTATCCTCGAGACTGACGACAACTTTGAAATAGTGGCGTCCACCATCAAGGCCATCTATGACCTAACTTGCCGATCCTGCGGGCTGCCAGAGAAGGGTAACTTCCAGCGGAAGGTTCGCATCGACCACAAGCAGGGAGATACGGTGGGCAAGCAGCGATTCCTCCAAGCAAGAGATAGGGAGCAGGCGAAGCGGCAGCACGAAGCTGCCGATGCCCTGTCAGACAAAGACAGAGGGAGGACATCGGCTGGTCCCAGCGAGGTTGGACGGACAACAGCTGGTGGCGCGACTACCAGGACTACTCGTCCTCCTCATCTTCCTGGCAATGGAAGAACTGAGAGGCAGGGGCCATGGGCCACCGACATGATGCTAGCTGACCATCACCTATGCGGTCAGCTAGCTCAGGTGGCAAGATAATTTTCACTGCCCAAGGCCGGCGTGAGCAGGCTGCTCGCTTGTTTGCACCCAACACGAGCCTGATGCCGACAGTGTGCATGGCTGAAAACAAGGTGCCGAATCTGCAGCCATGCGATTCTTGCAAGCTGTGCGCAAATTTGCAATCTTAGCACCAATCGGAGCATCAGTCGCTCAACTTCCGATTTCAAATACGTCCACCATGTGACTACGGCTTCAAGGTGTGAGAGCACTGGACCGTGGTCCTGTCATGTGGAGGTCTCTCAACCCTCTCATGTGCTCGTCGGTCCATCCGGATACGGGTCAACCAGCAGGCAACCCTGCTAGGTGGAGATGGGCAGGGAGCCTCAAGTGCTCGTCGGCCCAAAAAGGTACTGGTGGTCACACAGTCATGATGCATGTGCCCGGGCATCCGCTTCGTAGATTAGCAAAATATCATTCCCGCGCTAGATCATTTTTAAGCCGGTTTATGTGAGTGCTAGCGCGGTTACATGCCCGCTATGCGTGGAGTCCGCTCGCGAGAAAAATTGTCGTCGTCGTCGTCGTCGTCGTCGTCGTCGTCGTCTTTTTGTAAGCTTTCTTCACTCAACGCTTCCCTCTGCAAAGCCGTTCGCAGATCTGATGCTGCACTTTCTCAACCTGCATGGCTGTGAGGCAGAGGCTGGGACTCTAGGGTTGGCTAGCAACTCTGGTTTAACATGCCTGAGCCGCTTCAGCCATCCTCATGCCTTTGGTGTTTTGTGCTATGTCTCAGTGACAAAGTTGCTCCTAAGTCTTCTAGCTACTTCCTCGATCATTCCTGATTGTTCTCTCCTTCCGTCGCATTAATTGCCAGCACGCCTTGACGCTCCGGATGCTCGTGTGGCTATGTGAGCATAATGGGTGAAAAGTTGTCGTCGTTGTTGTGAGCCTTGCAAAGAGCGGAGAATAAATAATAGAACCAACCAAGGCCCTGAAACTAAGCATTTGAGTCCATCCTTCGTTCGAGGTATAAGCGCGGAGAGCTGGCAGCGAGCGGCCGTGTGACGATCGTCTTTGCCAGCCTCCATGCCATCGTACTGTCATGTGAGGGAGTGAGTGAGAGAGGGAGTGTGCGTGTGTGTGCTGTCGAAATCCGGCTTATGTCGCAGCATGTTGAGATTTGTGCAGCCGCGTGGTTCTGAAGTTTATTGGACCGAATTGCTTTTGCTGAATGTTCTTTTCGATTTTCAGGTCGGGCAAACCGGAGAAATATGTCATCTCCGCTTCCAAGAATGCGCCTGGACTTGCGGATACCCACACGAGGATAAGCAACCGCGACTGCAAAGCTGGGTTGAAGTTGGCGAATAGAGGCGACACGCGAGACTTCAGTGAAAGAGCCTTCCAAGAGTGCTGCCGCCAGGAGGCTTTCTCCTTGTTGCTGAATTTGGAGTAGTGCTTGGCCCAAACCTGCCGGCTGCAACTTCAATTCCCACGACGGTCTTACGAGCTGCCCTTCTGCAAACATCTGCAAAACAGGCGACGCCTCTCGCAGGGCGAAGTCGTTCCCTTGCCTTGTTTCACAAAAACAACAGCTGGCTTGAAGCTGCAGTGGCTGATTCTGCATGAGCATGTAGCCACGCTTGAGACATAAGTCGTATCTGAGCAGCAGCGAGCTGGCACGCTTCGGCTTTGGCTTCACTCTCAGAGCCTCGGATCGAGCCAGTGCCACACCGTTCCGACTTCGTGCTGCGCTGTAAGCAAAGACTTGTGTGCACTCTCTTGCTCCGCTGCGTTCTGAAGTTTCTGTGTTTGGCGGTGGGGGTCTGTCAGCCAGCTTCGTGATTAGACCTGGCATGAAGGCTTCCCACTTCAAGAGGTAGCGGGGTCGCTACTCCTGAACAATGGAGGTGGGGATCCCCTCCAATAGACCTGTCTTAGGGTAGTTCACCAGAGTGGGGGCACCCCTCTGCTCAGGTAAAACACCTCGGTAGCTGACGTAGGTCTAGCTCGCTAGGTAGCTCGGAGCCGCTACTTTGTTTCACCGAACAAGACCCTGGAAGGCGCTCTGCAAGAAAGCAGTTCGTAGGATAAACTCATAATGTCCTTGACCGTGAGTGTTGCAGCAAGCGAGCCACAGAATTGTGAAGCTGAATCAAATCATACTTTCATGGGACCGAAAGTCAGGAAGTACGGTGTGCCAGAGCTTTTCTTCAGCCGGCAACAAAGCCCAAAGATGTGTCACTGACCAACATGAAACTAAGAATCTCGAAACCACAGGCCGTCAAACTTTAGAGCTACAGCTGGAGTTGGAGACGCTCTGTCTTAGCCTGCTCCTTTTTTTGCGAGCTTCCATGGAAGGTTCGTGAAGCGAACCATCGGAGTGTTCCAGCACCGAATTACCTCGGAGCGACTGGTCTCACTGACGTCCGTCTTGACACAGCTGGCGTGTGCACTGCTATTCAAAAACATTCGCATATGTTAGTATGATGAGAGCTCCAAGCCAAACCAATTGCTGCACCGGCTCCTGAAAAAGACATGGTTCGTCAACACCCCTCAGTGAAAAGCTGCCGAAGTGAGCCGTGCAGAACACTTCCTGCGGTCCTGACTTCGGAACTTCGGGGAACAAGCAGTGTGATGATGTGTGATGTGCAAGCACAAAGCTGGGAAAACCAGCCGGCTCTCTGGAACTGTGGCCAGTCGTCTCAACACGCAGCATTCTGATCTTCCGATTCCAGGAGCAAAACGCAGCATAAGCAGCAAACGGCCCAAACTGCAGGTCTTGCTGTCAGCCTTTTTGTTCAAGTAGCTTCTGCGTAGGCTGAGATGTGTTTTCTTGAGATACCGCACAGCCAGCAGGCAGTTCTGTTAAGCAAGAGGTCGAGCCGGAAGCTCGCAACCACTCTGCAGGCACATGGCTCAGGATGTTGGTTCGTGGCGCTGTAGGCAGAGCTGACCGATGTTGCAAAACGTCTCGACATCCGCGCAAAAGGCTTCACCACCGACACTTGTGTCTGATGCGACCGAAGCGGCAAGCATGCTTGTTGCGGCCCTCCGTCAGCCTGTGGCAACAACAGACTCTGCATCGTCTTGTGGCTGGGCCAAGTCACATGCTGCGTCATTTCGCTGCTGGCAGCCGGGATCAAGTCTGTGCTGCCGTCTAAGTGGCTCGGTGTCTTCGACCGTGGCCGTTTCAGGTGGAGCCACATCAGAGTCCTGCAAGTGTAGTGCACGCGGCCATGAAACCCACACCCCCAGTTCACGGGACCGCCGGGACCGCTCCCTTCCGTGGGATCGTGAGAGAGAGAGCTCCGGCAGGCCCCCTCAATTCCCGACGAAGGTCTTTCACGATTTCGATTCGATGCTCGAAAATGTGTGGCCTTCGAACCGCCCGTCTCAGCCCCTTGGCGTCCCTCGGCCCTGGAAGATTCTGACGAAACGCAACATGACAAGTGTGTCAGGTGAAGCGCGCTGCGACTGTTTACGTCGAAGTCTTCATAAAGCAGGTCTCTCCGGGAGCTCAACACGAGGTCTTCATGTTGCAAGTCAGACAGGGTCGAACATGAGATTGACAAAAAGTGGCTCCGATTTCTCTGCAAGGACAGAGCGAGCGATGCAGGCATGGACAAACGAGGAAAGGCCCACCCCTGTGAAATACGATTCGCAAAATGGAGCCACCTGATTACTCATTACCTGACTGGCCAGTTCTCACGATTGAACCATCGAACGACTGCAGGCTCATGCTAATCAAGCAATACTTCCTTCCCCATACTGCACCGTCCCTGGGCTGTCGGTAAGATTGGGCACAACACGAAAAAACGATAAGCAACTGTCTGCTAGGCTTGACCATCTAGTCGTCGAGCGGGTCAGATTCGTGCATGCCTCATGTTGCATAGTCTCGATATTTGCTGTGCTGTAGCGCTCCTTGTCGCCAGATGTCTCCCAGGACACGACCTGCCCAAACAAAAACTGCATCTGGTGTCATGCTTCAGCAAGTAAGCAACGTGGTGCTAATGACGAACAACTAAGAGAAGGCCTTGCCATAATATGACAATTGCTTCAATGGCGAAGTGCGTTGGCTGATGCCTTGCGAAGCCCGGCCAGCCTTGTGGATCTTGCCCGTTCGGGCGCTTGAGTCGCCGTTGAGGTTCACGGTCAACAGCTCTGTGATGTACCGTTGCCCTGTTTTGAAGACCAGCGGGAGACTGCGCAATCCCCATGCTCAAACAATCATGAAGCAGCCTTCTTGTAGCTCCAGGAGTTTGGTTTCAAGGCTGAGGCGGTGTTCGGCCAGAAGATGGCGCATCCACTGGTGTAGATCAACCTGCCCATTCCACAAACTGGGTTGGACAGCCAGTTTTCCCTCACCCTGAAGAGATTATATATATGATCCCGGCTCTCGGCTCACCGACCCCCCCCATGGTATCCCCCCCCCCCCCCCCCC